TCCCCAAAGAGCCACATTTGAAATGATTGAAAAGAATATATCGTCACCTGAAATGCAAAAAGACGTAACCACACCATAACTGTTGTGGGAGTTGAAATTCGATGAAATCCATCATATCAATGCAAAAAGACGTAACAAACATCGTCGCTGAAATACCAAAAAGTCGTAACTAATAAAAAATTCAGAATTCAGTTTTATTCTGAATTTTTTATTAGTTACGATTTTTTGGTATTTCAGCGAAGATGTTTGTTACGTCTTTTTGCATTTCAGGTGACGATATGTAACATCAAGCCCTGTCTGCACAGGAAACCCCTGATGTCGTGATAACAATGTCACAAAATATATTTCCAATGGAGACCGCCTATTTCTTATGTGCTGCAATATATGTCAGCGCTTATTGCTTGACATCTATTGCAGGCAATTCGATAGTTTGACAGCCATATTTTCATTTGAAAGAAAGCGTGCTGGTGGTAACATCGATGAAATTTTGATATTAAATCAAAATAAAAATCTGTTCCGTATTGGATAATTTATGATTACGTTTTAGGAAATTATTTAGGTAGTTTTTTAAAGATTTAAATGTTTTTAAACACCGAAATTGTGAGAATGTTGTCTGGTGGCGTCATGCGGCAAATGCTTATTTCAAGACATCAAAGTGCCCACACACAAAAACTTACAATCACATTGCTCGTCAAAATGACAGTTGGTAGGCCATCGCTGTTCGTCTGTAGAGTTCTGCGGTTAAGAGCAAATCACGACAATTTGGTTTAAAATTACAGTGCACACTTTCCACTTGGTCCAATAAAAATCATAATAAAGAAAGAAATGCAGGTATTTAAAGAAGAGAAAACAAAAAATATATTGGGTTGTTCCCGCTTGCCTGGTTATCAGGTTATCTGGTTATGCTGATATATTTTTTTACAGTTTACAACAATAAAATACACTACAGAATAATAATTTTTAACCAGATAACCTGATAACCAAGCAAGTGTGAACAACTCATATATTATTAAAAGGACTATGTTCTCTTTGACGTACGTCAAAGGTCAAGTAGAATAACTGCTCGATTATATAGCTTAAGAAATAATAAGTTTAAAGACATTTTTACCAAAGTTGATAAATATGACATTTGACCAGTTTTGGTACACAAATACTCAAACGACCACAGGCAAAAAATATTGGCTACAATGCACAACATTCGCATTCGCAAAAGCTCCGCATTGATTATTGCGAATGCGAAAGCGAATGCGAATGTTAAAAATAATGCGGAAGCTCCGCGGTTGCGAATGCGAATGCGAATAATCGCAACAACCCTAGTGTATATGTACAAATACTATATGTAAGTGCAAAGATGTTCTCTTATTTTTTACTTTTTGTAAAAATGACTGCGACTGCAATATGAATGAATTTCAATTCCATAGTTTTTAGTTTATTCAGTTTGTAATTAGCTTTTTAAACTAATATTAAATAAAGACATTTATATTTCTTTGTTTAAAATACAAATTTATTTTTGTTTCTAGTATTCGCAAAAAAGCAAGACCACAAAACTAGTTTGTTAGGATATTTTAATTAATGGTAATAATATCCCGAAATATGCCGGGATCCCGGGAATACCAATTTAAGATCCCGAATTCACAAAATGGTCCGGGATTGGATGCCTTATCTACTACCCAGCAAGAGAATGGTCACTTGTCCCAGTGACGTGACCGTCACGCGTGCCCGCTAAGGCTGATGCTAGATAAAATATTTGACAGATTCGCTTTTAGCTGAAACACAATGCCGGCGAACGGCGAAACAGGATTGAAATTTTTTTCGTTTTGAGTTGTATCGTTATTCCAGAGGACTACCTATGTATACAAAATTAAAAACTAAAAATAAATTTTATTTAACTTTTATATTTGGCTTTATCAAGTGAACGCCCAAATAGCTACTGAGGCCACCAAAATCGGATTGAGCCAGTACTCATGAAATATGAAATGGAGTGTGAGATTGGAGCAACTTGCGCTCAAAAAGTGTAGAATGCCACAAATTTGCTAAAATTGATGAAAATGTCCACGCTAGTTTGAAAAACAAACATGAAATTGGTGTTTACAAGTTTTCGGATTTAACGCTGCCGTCGATAAAAAGTTGCCATATGAACTTATCTTCTTGTTTGCATTTTGAGCGAAAAAAATTAGATTTTTTTTGAAAAATTCCTACATTTAACTTATTTATAAATCTACCCTTTTCCCTACACTCATTTTTTCGACTAAAATCCCTACGGGCAGGGAATTTTCCCTACATGGTACAGGGACCTAAAGCTCTAACTCAGCGTTTCTAAATCCTTTCGAATGAATGGATGAAAAATTAAGTACTATAAGGGCCGAATTCACAGTGCTTAGTTAAATCATTGTTAACTTAACCACCAACAAGAGTTTAACTAAGAATTTATATTCTGAGTCGCTTAGTTAACTATGGAAATACGTATAGCATGAAAATATACAAATTCAAAAAATCAATACTTTTCTATTCAAATTTGAAATTCGTTCCACAAAAAAAATACTAATTTCACAAGAGTTTAACTATGGGGGCATGCTGGTTTCCACTTTTGCTAACTGAGCGTTGTAAATATAAAAATCAATAGTTAAACTCTTATCAGCGGTTAACCACGCCCTGTGAATTTGGCGCTAAGCCCTGTATATTTGAGCGGGACGATTTGTAGGGAATCAGAAAAACGGAAAAATCGCATATGCGGAAGATGCTCTACGGATCATTCTGAGCGACTTTGCGTAAGAAACTATGGTCTGGTTTCTCCAACTCAACTTAACTTAGTTTAGGCAATTTTTTAGACTTAGTCACGAATAAGCTGTGTAAAAAGTAGGCTAACTTTTGACTTAGGTGTAAAAAATGGCTAAACTAAGTTAAGTTGAGTTAGAGAAACCAGCCATATGGGTCTGAAACCATTTTCTAGCCAGCGAAGGGGAAGATTCATATCAGGTAATACAAAATTGTGTGGGAAAAACTTAAACAAATAGCTAATCTATTAGTGTAAGCGTACAAAACGTAGTGTATTTATAGAAGCTTTTATTTAATTTTTAACACATAAATGATCAGAATTGAAAAAAAATCGATTAAGCAATCGATTTAACGAAATTTGGTATGTGTACTTATTTTTAGCGTAGGACGGATGGTATTGAAAATAGGTAAAATCGGAAATTCGCCACGCCTACCTCTCATATAACGGTAATCTTCAGAAATACGTAAACTGCGATATTTTAGTAACTACTGAAGCTTATTAACATAAAATTAATATTTAAATGATTTTTAGACGACAAATAATAATATTATAAATTTTTGGAAAATTGGCACAGCCACGCCCAAGGCATAAGGAGTTTTCGCTATGCAAAAAATTTGTACAAGTTGGTACCAATTGTTACCAAATCGTGTTCGTTTAGCCAAAAACCCAGTAAAACTTGCAAGGAGAGAGCACAATTTTGACATTTCATTTGGAGGGGAAGTTGCAAATTCGTGCTGGGAAAATGTTTGCCAGTAAGAATTTGCAACCCTGCAAGAACAGTGACTATCATTTGACCAATAATTTGAGTAGCAAGACTGATAGATATTTCTGTCACTGGCTACCTACAAGTTTCTATCAAATTCTAAAGGGCAGTGTGAAAAATCTGATGGAAACTTTTGTGTACGCGTGATGCTTCATCTCCTTCTAACATATACGTTTTGGCATATTGCTAGACTGCTTACTCCCTCTGAGTTCGGCATTCAAATTTGAATCATCAGTGATGTAAATCTTCGACAATTATGAGTGATCAGCCTTGATAGAAATATAAGTCAGCAATGTGCAATCAAATTTGATGTAATACCCGATCAATCATGACACATCAAGACTGACATGTTTTCATATCATTGCTGATTACTCACAGTTGATGTAAAAATTCGTCAAGTCTGATCTCTCACGCATGATTAGAAATCTATCATTAATGACACATTTAATACTTATTTTTTTTTCTCTTATTTTCATAAAATCTTATGACCTAATTATTAATCATTAAAATATAATAAGTTAAATAATTAATGTCTTACGTAGTAAAAATTCAAATTTTTTTCATAAAACACATACACTTGCGACAGAAATAATAGAAACGATTTATTTCGGTGCATTTCTTTTGCTTATTTATGGCCCCAATATACATGGCGATTGGTGTCCAGTTGCTGGTCTAGTAGACATGGCTACCAGTATCTTACTTTGTATTATGTATAGCGACTAATCCAGTATACAGAATAGCGCTGACAACATCCGAATTTAGTTTTTTGACATGTAGATTTCGAAGTAATTGTCAAATTTGCTCCATATGTTTTAACAATTTATGTAAACATATTACAAAACCGTCATAAGGGTGAAATACAAAATTGCGCCACTAGATTCTATTATAAAGGTCTAGCTAGTTGTATGACAAACGCCATACAAATCCACATTTCAAACTTTGTAGATTAAACATTAAGGGCCGGTTGTTCAATGTCTGATTAGCACAAATCGGAGGTAGAAGCTCCGGTTAACCACAACTACTGCTTTATCGATCACATGTTACATGCATGATGTCGAAATCGTCGATAGTGTAGTGGTAGTGATAACCAGACATTGAACAACCGGCCCTAAATGAACACAAAGGAAATGTAGCCAAAAATTAGTCAAAATAACGCGTTTCTATTAGTTCTGCCACCAGCGTACATATGTACATACATAAAACAGATATTAAACAGAGTGGGATTTTTTGTAAAATACTTTTTCACAAAATCTTATAAACTAAAAATGTTCAGTAACATTATAAAGTTAGTAGCAAATTGATTCATGTCTTACGAACTAAAAATTCAGAAAACCATAAAAACATACATACAGCTGCGTTCAAAATTATGATACCAAAATTCAGAAAGAAAGGTATTGCTTGCACATTAAACATTAAATAAACATTGAACATTAAATAAACATTGAACATTAAATAAACATTGAGTATTAAATAATCATTAAACGTTAAAAAAATAAAGGTAATTTAGCGAAAAATTAATCAAAATAAGGCGTTTATATTATTGCTGCCACTGGCGTTCATATGTACATACTTAAATCTAATATTAAATAGTCTTAAAATTATGGATTTCAACTGCCTTTTTGATATCCTTTTCCAACTCAACTGCACCTTTTAAATGCATCTATGTGGTATGAAATAGATTATCAAAAAAATTTTTATTAAAAAAAATTTTTGTATGTATACGGTAGTAGCCACATAATTAGGGATAGTATTTCTTTATAAGTTTTGACCATTTATTTTTTTATTTATTTGAAATTAACTTTTTTTACAAAGATATAGTTTATACCAAAACGTAAACCGTGCAACTGAAAGTTTCAAACCTTGTACAAGATTTATTAAAAATCGCAAAATTTCAAAAATGGTAATCAAAATTTAAAACTTTTAAATCACGTTCTCTAGAAAAAAAAATCGGGTATTCAGATTTACAGCGCATTCAATGTGAGCATAATATTTTGCAAATTTTAAGCGGCTAAGAACTTGCGTTGTTTTTTGATAATTTTTTACAAAGTATGTTAGAAATGTTTTATATAGGTATATGAATATAAATTAAAAAAATAAATGTATCGTCAGAACGCAAAGTAGTGTCCCTGATATGTGTGCATATTACCTCGTACGATTGTGTCAACCAGTATGAGTTTGTTCAGTGGCTTTCTCTCCCATCTTCCGTCCCAGTTGAATTGTAGCAATGTTTCGTCCGTAAATAAATGTTTAATGACGCTGCCTACGTCCTCAGATACACCTTTTAATTTTATGATATATGTGGCGCAATCGGACTGCAGTGGTAGAGAACTGGCGATGTCATCTAAATTTGTCAGAAATTTCTCCAGTCATTCGACAAACCGACCTCTCAATCTTCTTTGCAACCACTTTGCATTCTCGTACCATCATATTTTGCGCTTCCATTTCACTTTTATTAACGGCCTGAACAAAATATATTTATTACTTTTTTAAATACATACATATGTAACTTTTTATAATACTGATTTCAAATACGACATAAGTTTTGCTGAACCTGTTCCAATACCTCGGAGATGTGGATTTGGTTTTGAACAATGGTGGTTTGCTAATGTAAAAGGACAATGAAAATTATACATGTACTCTTTTTTTAACCAACTTCTTGCTTTGCTTAAAATTTTGTTTGGGTTACAGCACATGTTGAAAAGTGATTATCTTACATTATGGTTAATTATATTTATGCCTTCTATCAAATCGTTTTGGGTTTTTAAGACCCTTTGAAGGTTTCCATAATTTCTGAAACAATGTTTTATATAAATTTAGTAAAAAATTTTATTCAGTTAAAATTTTTGTAATAAATTACCCTAATTTGAGATATTTGCACTGGTAATCGTACTCTGTTTATTTTCGGTTGCATTATTGTAATCGTTTTTTTGTGAAAAAGCGCTTTCTTTTTAGATGTGGTTGGTTAGCTGAAACCGACAAAAGAAAAGAAGAGAGAAGAGTTGTTGAATATTAACGATTAAATAATAGCTATACTTACCCTCATTTGAGATATTTGCACTGGTACTCGTACTCTGTTTATTTTCGGTTGCATTATTGTAATAGTTTTTTGTGAAAAAGCGCTTTCTTTTTAGAGGTGGTTGGTTAACTGAAACCGACAAAAGAAAAGATGAAGGAAGAGTGGTTGAATATTAATGATTAAATAATAGTTATTCTTACGATTTAATTCCTGAGCTGCTGGGATATGCGACTCATCGGAGCTATTGCTAGCGTTCAAGTTAAGGCTCATATCGCAAATTGTATTAAAATTTAAATGATTTAAATTATTATTTTGTAAATTACTTTTTTATGGCGAAATGAAATGTGTAGTTTAATTATGAAAATCGTGAAACAGGTGGTGTAACAGCGGAATTAGCAAATGTTTATTTTCATATGGTATACAAAAATATTTATGATTTAGATCCTCCATCGAAATCTCAATTTGCACAGTGCTTAGCTGACTTGCAACAACAATTCCCAAACCCGGGAAAGACTGCAGTGGCTCTTCGAAAAAGTTTTCTAATTTTTCAAAGGCATTGCATAACAGTTTTTCCGAGTTCGCCGTCTTTATTATACCTATCACCTTGAGAGGACCCGATTTTTGACGAAAACAGTAACAATCTCTCTCTTTATTGTGGTTTAAATTAAATGATCCTAACATTGAATCCGTATTTTCAGAAATATATTCCTGCCTTTCTTCAAGTCTCAACGATATTTGTTGCAAGATCTTATTTGCTTTTTAATCATCTTTTTTAAATATTGCATAAAATTTTAAAATTTATATGCTGAAAATGAGTCCAAAGGACCAAATTGCTTCACACAATCCGATAGGTGGAGTACTCCATGAACGTTAAAGCTTATAAACTCATCACCATATATTTCACCAAAGTAAGTTACGAAGAGTTCCAATATTTTTTGGGCAACGTCAGCTTCTGTCTCGGATATCCTTTCACAAGAAAGAAGTCTAATGGTACTATGTAACAGCAAAAAATTGTAGTATAAATCGGGGTTGATGGTATCTTTGAGGACAAAAATGCCAGTATAGAGCAAAAATTGCCTAAATTCCGTTGACTTCCAATTGTCCATCTCATCTAAACTTCTAGCTATGCGACTAAACTCTGAGGGAACCAAACTTGCGATAAAGTTCAACTTCTCATTAATGGATGTTACATTCCCTCTTTTAAGAAACAATTTTAATAACATTTTTGTAACTCCTAGGTCCACTAAGTGAATGCAATCAATCGGAAATTGGGATACCATTCTAAAATCAGTTAACTACAAAATACTTTTTTTCTCTTTAAATTCTGTTAGATGATGAGAAGGATTTGATCTGGATTCAAAGGATGAATCAGTCCTAAGAATGCCAACCTGCTTTGAAAAACAAACCCTGTTTTTTTATATGCACCTTCCTGGCAGCATTTGGGACATCCATTTTTTCCGTTGTGCCCAATAACGCCAGTTACAAATGCCCTAGCTGGAGAGTCACACGTAAACAAGCGTACGTTAAATTTTAACCGGTTTGGATTAAGGCCTACTTGAACTCCATTAATTCTTAATAACTTAACTTCATTGCAGAAGTCATCCATGAAGCTATCAATATTTCCCGGCTTTTTGAAACCAGAAAAGCAAGCAATCATAAACGGTCTGATATGAGGGGCACCTACAATAGCTCCAAGGATAGGCCAAAGAACGCGGTTTGAACTTTTGAATAATTTTAAACCGTCGACTCCAACGTCAATTAAAACTTCTTCCTTATTTTCTAAACTAGAGATACTAGATGATTTAAAATAGTTCTCAATTCCTAGGTATATAAAATCTCCATCTGGAATCCTGCCAACATTAATTTTCTCTCCGCTTGTATCTAACAAACTTTTGGCAGACATTAGCAAATTCGGTACCCCAATTTTGCGTAAAGTTCGCAACAAATCGTCTAAAGAATTATGTGAGAATTATGTGTTCGTAATAGCCCACAACCTAATCTCTTCAGTACTTTGTACACTTTCTTGCGGGAGCACAGTAATTGATTAAGATTCAGATGAATCTTCAGTATTCTCATCGAATTGTAGGTCAGATGAGTTTGTTGTACCTTCAGTAGATTCTGTACTAAGAAACGAGGGTCCTGGCTGTTCATTTGGATGTACAACACCACTACTTTCTAGGTTCACATTTTCTGCACTTTTCATTTGCCTTAGAGCTCGCAATTTTCTTACATTGGATTCGTAAATCCGTTTTTCTTTGGTCATTGCATTATTATATGCTCTTTTCTTCATTTTAAATTAAATATTTTATAAAACTAATCTTTAATTTTCACAGCACTTTGAATTTCGAGCGGCTTTTCGTTTCGCGACTTTCTTTTCTCCGTTGATGTGCACATTTGAACTTCTTCAGTACCAAGTACATTATAATCCGGTTTTATTTTTTACGTTTGCATACATTGAAATTATCATACCGCAATAAAAACATTAATTTTTACTTACCTTAATTTTTTGCTATGAATGGGGTCCAATAAATGGTAAAATTATAGTTTAAACTAATTAAGTTCAAAATTATATCCAAGTACGTCAGTACTCGAATATTATTTGGCAGGTACAACTACTTTTGTTTAGCACAAAATGCAGCCCTGTTAAATCTTGTGGTTACTATGGCAACCAACTACCGTTACTTCTATCAGCATTGCCACTCACTTGATCAAACAAATGACAGTCATTCGCTACAGGGCCAAACCCACCAAACAATTTTTGTTGCCGGCAATAAGAAAACGTCTCGCCCTCGGAAACAAATTTATTGCCGGTAATATTGCCATAGTATCGATTTCCTATTACCAGTCGCTCTAGAACGTCCGCCGAAGGCAACTCGCCTGGGCGAGTCGTTATCTTATTACCTGAATGCGTAATTTTCTTATCGTTTCAGACAAGGTGAATTAAAGAAGGTGGGATATATTAGACGATTTTGGATAATACTGTTGACAACAAATGTATAAGTTTGGGAATTTTTGATTACTTATTTATTCCAAAGTTGACATGAAAGAAATGATGTTGCCGATTTGTTACCACAGCAACAAATCGGTGAGTCGCCAATTTGTTGCCATTGACGATTGTTGCTCATTTCTCCTGTTTTGCGTGGTGGGAACTGACATATACAATTTTGCGTATTAGTTTTCGTTGTGAATGTGTTGGAGTTTCTGTCAATCGCGTCTTGTAGGGTCCCTTTGAGTTCGGCCTTCAAATTTTAATCATCAGTGATGTAAATCTTCGAAAATTATGAGTGATCAACCTTGATAGAAATATAAGTCAGTAATGTGCAATCAAATTTGATGTAATAAGCGATCAATCATGACACATCAAGTCTGCCATGTTTTCATATCATTAAATATCAAAAAATTAGAAGCTAAGTACATTACATCAAATTAGAAGCTAAATACATTACCCTAAGCGCAGTACATAAAACATTAATAAACAAAGGAAATGTGGCCAAAAATTAAGCAAAATAAGGCGTTTCTATTATTTTTGCCACAAACGTACATATGTACATACTTAAATCTAATATCCTAATATTATACATTACATTGAGCTCAATTGCCTTCCTGATTTCTTTTCGAACTCAACAGGACCTTTCTTTTTGAATGCATCTAAGTGGACTGAAATAGACTACCAAAAAATTTGTATTGTTAAAAGATATGTACATATGTATACGGTAGTGGCCACATAATTAGGGATACTATTTATTTATATGTTTTGACCATTTATTTAAGAACTTGCGTCGATTTTTGAGAACTTTTGACAAAGTATGTTAAAAAGGTTTATATATACCACCAGTATAAGTTTGTTTAGTGGTTTTCTCTCCCATCTGCCGTCACAGTTAAGCTGCAGCAATTCCCCGTCCGAAAATGAAAATTTAATACCGCTGGCTACGTCCTCAGACACACCTTTTATTTTTAACCGACTTCCAAAAAGGAGGAGGTTATCAGTTCGTCGGAATATTTTTTTTTTTATGTATGTTACCGCATAACTTTGGACCACGTCAACCGATTTCGATAATTCTTTTTGCATTTGTGTCTCAGAGGTGGTCCCATACTAATCTGGTTAAGATCCGATCAGCGGATCATGAGATATATATATATATATATTTTTTTTTTTATATGAGAGTTGAAGTCGGTTTTTTTTTTGCTAAAACTTACTTGTTTATATATGTAATTGACCTTTGAAAAATTTATGTACANTCCGAAAATGAATGTTTAATACCGTTGGCTACGTCCTCAGATACACCTTTTATTTTTGATATATGTAATTGACCTTTGAAAAATTTATGTACAGCAATTAGAACGTGAAATATGTATTCCATAATATAATTCATTATCATGGCTTGTGCATACTCTGGATCTTTTAATTTTGTTTCTAATAAATCCACAGCGCAATAGGACTGCAGTGGTAGAGAACTGGCGATGCGATGCAATTTTTTAATATTGGATTCGTAAATCGTTTTTGTTGCTCATGGCGGTATTAAAAGCTCTTTTATTCATTTTAAATTAAATATTTTATAAAACTTATCTTTATTTTTCCACTTTAAGTTTTGAGCATCTTTTCGTTTTGCGTCTTTTTTCTGTTGATGTGCGCATTTGAACTTCTTCAGTACCAAGTACTTTATAATACGGTTGTATTTATTACGTTTATATATAAAAAGAATGTCATTCCACAATGAAAACTTTAATTTTTACTTACTTTTCCTATGAGCGGGGTCGAATAATGATAAAATTAAAATTAAACTAATTAAGTTCTAAATTATATCCAAGTACTTCAGTGCTCGACATTATTTGGCAGGTACAACTACTTTTGTTGAGCACAAAATGTAGCCCTAGTGAATCTTGTGGTTACTATGGCAACCAACTACCGTTACAACTATCAGCATTGACACGCACTTGATCGATCAAATGACAGTCATTCCCTACAGAGCCAAACTGGCATATACAATTTTGCATATGCCTTAGTTTTCGTTGCGAATGTGTTGGAGTTTCTGTCAATCGCGTCGTGTAGGGAAGCAGGATTGTGGCACACGGTTGCATTTTTGTCAACATTAATTTGAATCAACGAGTTCGTTAAATTTAAAAATGAACAATCTTGTTGCGATTTACTAATGAAAGAAGTAGGTAAATATTCGTTTATTTAATTAATTCCAAACATTTGAAAGGTACTCGGCTGAAAAAGCTGTATTCGTATTCGGAACGCACTCGACACCACTGTC